CTTCCTCGTTCGTTCGACAATGGGATTTCCTCGGCCGTCAGCAGTACAGCAGAGAAAACAACAAATAGATATGAGTTTTGTTTTCTGTGCTCAACTGCAGACGACCGGAGACTTACCATTGCACCAACTTGGCCGTCATGGGCCGAGAACTGACTACCATCCCACGGTCCATAGGATTCAATGAGGGATGGCTTTCGAATCTGCACCGAAGACGACCGGCTTGAGTGAGGCTAGGATAATAGAGGTGCAAACGATCGACTCGAATAATTAAAACAACTCGCCTGTTGACGGCCGAGCTCGGAATTCTCTCCTGTTTACCATAGGAATTGAATGAGGGAGAGAAGTCAGCACTGTACCTTCAATTAACACTCTTGATAATAGGCTTACCTCGAATCGATTCGATCGATCGGCCGATTGGATAAAGCACTCACCATTGTTGTCCGCCAAGCTTGGATTTCTCTCCTGTTTGCCATAGCAATTCAATGAGGGAGAGAAGTCAGTGCTGCACCTTCAACGATACCAGTACCGGTATGTGCGCATGCCATTGAATTAGTTTAACCTTAACCTTAGAACCTTCAACGGTTCTTTTTATCCACGAATCGATCTAAATCTTTCGAAGCACATGACCGTTGATTCTGCAACTGAAGTGCGGCTACTCTATTTTCCACAGTAAACGCCGGCAAATCGATTTCAGAGTGCAACTGAGGGGGTAACCAAAAGGTGCGTCGTCTCATTGAGACGTAATTTTTGCGGCTCGTCGCGCCTTATTTTGCTGAAAGGCGCTCGCGCTGCTGTCATCGCTCATCATCACAAGCGACGGCAACAGGGTACCGGTACCTAGCATCCAATCACTCCCATGGAAGCAGCAAGGTCCAACGAACCAACGATAACGCTATTCAGACAACAGAAGGACTCACCCAAGAATCAAATGTTATTGAGAAGAAGAAGATAGCTGAAGAAGAAGAAGAAGAGAGCCGAGAGGGGATGGCATCACTTGGCAAGAATACTATGACATAGAAGCACAGCACAGTTCTCAAAGAATTCTGGATGGGACCACAGCATGTCTCCAGCTTCTCTGCGACGTCGGCTGATTTGCAAGGCGCATCACCGGCAGAAACGTCTCTCATTCTTGGATCATGACGACAATGATGACGACAATGATGTCAAAGAGCGTCGCAACCAGCACTATTCCAAGGTTCGCATCCGCACGCTACCTCTTTCCGACGAGGAGGATTCCTACGTGGTTTCCGTCAAGCGACGTCTTCCCGTGACATTGGGACGCGTCAATCTATCTACATGGTGGTGGAGGGCTTGTCCTCATTGTTCGCAAGAATTTACTAGTGAAGACCGAAGAAATAAATATTGGGCCCCGTCGTCACCGTGTCGGAATCGGTGTCGGCCATTAGCAAAACATGTGCGCGATATTTCCAAGGAAATGATTTACGTCAATGAAACGGGGGAAATAGATGTGTTGGGGTTGAAACCAGAGATTGTGCACATTTCCGCGACGAAAAAGGGAGATGGTCGCAAAACGGTATCCATTGGGGACAATGCGAGGGATCCGTGGGTCAAGTTTCAGTTGGAGTTTATTGCGGAACAATCTACAGGACAAGGGGACTCACCGGCTGCCAACAACAAGAGTACAACGAATGGACGCAACAAGAGAAAAAGAGAACCCGAAGAAGAAGACTCGTTATCCTCGCCGGCATCCCAGCCGACCAAGAAGAGCAAACAGTCTGCTGGTAGGCAAACACAACAACAATCTGCACGACAACGAACGAATCATCGAATGTTTGAATCGCAGTCCAGCCAGGAGGACTCACCTCCGGCTATGTGGCAGACACGACGAAAGGACCCATCTCCATGTCGAAAGTCCAAACAACAGCATCGTTGTGAAAGGCACGAAAAGCAAACCAAAAAACGGTTGCTGTCACTCTCGCAATCCAGTCGCGAGGAATCCTCCGAGCCTACGCCTCCGAATTCCGCCATTGCCGACTATTTGGAGACACGAGATTATAAGGAGCTGTCAGTGGAAGACACAATCACAAAAAGGCAACCCCGAAGGCGCGAGCCCAAAAAACGTTCCCTGCAATCACCGCGGTCGTCTTGTCATCAATGGGAATCATCGAATCACCTGACTGCGCATCAGCGGTCGACAACAACCGCAAAACCAAAATCCGACCACCATTTGCGACCGCGAGCCTTGCCATTCTCACAGCCGCGATCATTGCAATCTTCACATCATTCAGAGAGCTGCATGGATCAGAGGGTGTCTTCTTCAAGTCGACAGACTGCGACGAAACCGCGTGCACGGGAAGCTGACACGCAAGTAGGAATCAAAGTGGCCAGCAGCAACAGTCTTCATCCACGCACGCAAACCAATGATCCAATATCTCAACAGCTTACGACCAAATCCCAACGCCTTTCGACCAAATCCCAACGCCTTTCGACCAAATCCCAACGATCAGTGTTGCCAGAGAGACAAGACGGAAGCAGATTGGCCAGCAGCAGTCTTTGTCCACGCACGCAAACCAATGATCCAATATCTCAACTGCTTTCGACCAAACCCCATCGATCGGTGGTGAGCCAGCGCCCGTCAAAAGAACAGACTGCGCCAGTAGAAAATCCAGGCACACAGCAGCAAGAACCGTATTGCCAGCAATCGTCCGGTGAGAATGACTTTTTCACGCCAAGGGATACCGCTCCCCCACCATCTGATACCCAACAGGAAGAGCCAAAGAGATCGAAGGGCGAAGATGAACAGTCATCCGCCAGCACGTTGAACCAGGAGGGAGGCCCAGTGTTGCCCAAGACCTCGTTGTTTCTCCTTGGCCAATCTTCAGCAGAATCGTCGGGGATTAACAGTCAAAGCAACGGGTGCCAAAGCCAACCCCGTCAATCCCCTGGCAATCCACGAGGACAACATGAGGATGTTGATGATCAGCAAGATGTGCTCCCCTCGTTTGTACTCCCAGGCGCTGGCTCGTCCGAATCCAATTCCAATGTCATGAGGGAGTGCGCAAGCCAACCAGCTGCTGATACCGAACAAGATAACGGGATCGTTGCACTGACAAGGCAGCCCTCGTGCGATGGTAGTGACTCCAGTTCTGTTCTGTCACTTCCCACTGGGGACAAGGTGCTTTCCACGCAAACGTCTGTTGTAGTAATGCACAATGGAATGTTGTCGCAACAGCACAGCCAGAGAGCAAAGGTTCATGTCGGGAACACGCAACAAGCAGCGACTTGCAAGGCCACACGTGCCTTGATGAAGATTATAACTGAAAAGAACAAGGAGGATGACGAATCCTTCTGGCGGTATGCTCCTTTGGATGGTTGCAGCCGCCGGCGCTTGTAGCATTATTTTGTAACAGTTGTAACATAAATCCATGAAGATATAATCCAAGCCCACATGTTCAAGGAAAGCAACCAGAAGTAGTCCCTGCTACGAAGGCATGGTATGTAGCCACAATTATTTCCATTTTAATTAATCAACCTCCAGCTGTTTGCTCCGCCTATTGGTGGCGGCAGCCAATTGTCCATAAACTGATTTCCTAGCCAACCCAAGCCAATGCAACGATCGATGGGCTACGAGCAAGTGCTGGGAGCAGAACGTGACGCAAGGGAGGCACCCAGTTTCACATCCGTTCCACCGAGACGTGAGCAAATTCCAGTTCTCTGGAAACTCTCACGTACTTAAACTGGTCATCTTCCATCAAAGTTGAAATAAGGGCCACTGTCTTCTCTGAAAACGGAAGTTCCAGTAGATTCTTGGGTTTGAGCCGTTTAGGTGCGCTGATTCCATCCACCTTCACTGCAACTCGGCTCGCTTCCAACCCATCCAAGCAGACAGTGCCAAATTTGCCATTCACTGTCAAACCAGAAGGACTTACAAGACCATGGATCAAAACCCACAAACCAGCTTCGCCCCTCTCCACATCAGTGCAACCTTCTCTGCCCTCCTCTGCATGCTCCATTGCTGTGGCACCAACCATTGCTACGGCAGAATACTTTTGGAATAAAACAGCATTGGCTTCATCCTTTTCTGATACATACTTGAATAGAGCAGATGCTTCCTTCAACTCTTGAGATGTTCCATGAAACGCAAGCTTGCTGTTAAGGATTCCTTGAGTGATTTGGCCTGACAAAGCGTATGCATGCATGCGGGACAACTGGAAAATTCTCTCGCCGTGCTCAGCTCCATTCGTCAACTGGAAAATGCTCTCACCGATCTCAGCCCTGTCCCTTTTCGTGTATGTATTGAGCGCCACCTTTGTGACTCGCTTGAGCATGGCATCATGGCGCCACCAATTTGGTTTTTTCTGCTGGTTGTCGCTTTTTTGAATGTATTGAGCAGTAAGATTTCCGATGCAATTAGCCCAAAAGTCAATAGCATAAGAACCAGACTGATTCAGTTCTTGAGCGAGATGCCCAGTCAGAGCAACAAATGCCCAGCGTTTGCATGCTTCCTCCAAGCAAGACCAGGCTTCTTCCTCTTGTCCGGATGCAAAGAAATATTCAGCAAGTCTATCAAAAGCTTCTGGTCTTCGTGGCTCCAGCTTTTGAGCTTTGCGAAGTATCTTTTTGGCACCGGCAATCTCTCCATCAGATGTCTTCCTTTCTGCTGACATACAAAGATCGTTATATTCCGATCCCCAAGTTCTCACAATGTCAGGATTGATTAGACTATGTTCAAGTGCAACATCATTTTTCTGTTGCGTAGCTTCCTCGTTATGCCATTTTTTGTGTCTTGGCCAAGCCTTCTTGAAGCACTTCTGAGAGCAGAAGACTGCTGGAATAAAGCCTTCTTGATGGCATTGAGGACACTGCTGGAATTTCTTGCCAGGCAGCTCAGCTTTTTGGCAGCCCCAGCAAACTCTCTCCGCCTTGACATCAGGCGGCCCTTGCAAAAGCTCTTTCATCTCCTTCATGACCAAGTCTATCTGCTATCTGAGTATTATGATGGATACCGGCATCATGAGTTTGTAGTGGACTACTGTATGGGGTGAAGCGTGCCGTCATTGGAGGGGTATCGGTGGTACGGACCGGTGGCGGTACCAGGTACGGTTCCCACCCACCGACCACCCAATGTAAGAGGATCTTTCAATGCTTCCCCACGGTACGAAGTATCCAGCTTTGCTGGCTAACGGTGGGTTCAGTCACGAGAAACCAGGAATACATCCCATCAACTCTCACCCACAAAGATCTTTGCTCGTGATGACCATGTCTCGATCGCTCGGAACTTTTCGATGCAAGTTGTTACTTTGTTGCTGACGGTTTGGTCTTGACATAACAAGAGCATAGTTCATCCACCATTCGAAGGATTCAGCGGACGGACCAAGCTATTAGCTAGCTAGACTAGCTAGCAAGAGTAGAAAGACAGAGTAGGAATAGCAAGAATATTTCTGGAGGCCATGACAGAAACTGTACCGCTCAACGTCAAGTGGAACAAGGAGAGTTTCAAGGTTGATCTTGTTGTCACCGACGGTGTTAAGGGCTTGAAGGATGCACTCGAGGAGAAGACTGGTGTTCCGGCAGAGCGGATGAAGCTCATGGCAAAGAGCAAAGGTGAGCGTTTCTAGCTTTTTAGGGAAGATCTTTCTTCTATTTCAGATGCCATTTTGTCTGTGCTAATGCAGTGTTTTTGCCATGTCAATGTATGTACAACAGGCTTATGGAAGGGAGTTTTGAAGGATGAAACGGATTTGTCAACCATTGACTTTGCGGGCGCCCTGGCAAAAGCAAAAGGCAAAGGCCTCGATCTTCTTTTGATGGGGTCTGCAGGTACGTTTCATTTATTCAAGTCGGTAGTAGTCTGTGGCACAACCTTTCCCCCGAGCTCACGTCACTTGTTACTTATCTCAGCGAAATTAAAGGAACCTCCCAAGGAAGCTCCCAAAGTGAAGAAGGATCCACCTTTCTATCCAAAGGCTGGCAGTGAACAGAAACCTGCTGCATCCGCCGATCCCAATCCTAGCAAACCTGCCAACACCAGCAGTACCACAGCCCCTGTCAAAAGCCCGCCACCTGAATCTAAACCTGTACCAACCGAAGTCAATAGTTCCACCGAAATCACTGATCCTACCGAGATTGCAACATACCAAGCGACACAGGCCTGGATGGCCCAGTCACCTCCGGGATTCCTCTATCCCAAAGTTGTACCATCCATTGTTGGTTTGCGTGATTTAGCACAACAACCCCTTCCACCTCAGCCTCAGGAAGAATATGAACTGTCCTTGGCCACGCCCAGGAGAAGTAAAGAAGTTCTCAGTGCTGCCTTGGAAAGCCTCGAAGGACTTGACAAGGAGGAAGCCAACTTGATTTATGCATCTCCATGGACAGTCCCGCTCACGCAAATGGTCACAAACCAAGCCGCATCGTCTCCACAACAAGCACTCGAAATGTTACAAGCATGTGCATCCGCATCCCCTCGAAAGGTCTGCCAGTATCCCTTTAAGAAAAATGATATTGTATGGATGTGCAGAACTTGTCAGGCAGATGAGACGTGTGCCATGTGCCATGAATGCTACAATGATTCGAACCATGAGGGACATGAAGTCATGTTCTTTCATGCACAAGAAGGAGGATGCTGTGATTGTGGTGATCCCGACGCGTGGGATCCAAATGGATTCTGTTCCAAGCATGGTCCACCGAAAGAAGGGGAAGCTACGGCGGGGAATGCAGCAGCACAACATCAACAATCACCTGAAGAGTTGCTTCCACCGGGATTGGTCCAACGTGTTCAAGGAATCATCCCGGCGATTATGGATTGGATGGTCAACAAATTGGCAGCAACAGCCAGAGCATCATCGGAACGAACAACCCTTCCCTTGATGACGGCAGAGGAGACGCTCGGTCCTCTGGGTCGGCAGGGACGTGGTCTCTACCTGGTTTTGCAGGCGGACGATGTTCACAGTCAACCAGAATACATTGACGCACTGCGAAACTTTCTCGGGTCGTCCAACTACATTGACGACGCAACCATGGCCAAGTTAGTCCAAACTTTAATATCAGCTGGACAATTGGTTGTTTGGGGGCCACTGGAGCTGGCAGCAGAATGTGGCAGAGATCAGATACGTGCTTGGCTGCAGGATGGGGATCCCAGTGCCTCGTCTACAATCGCGTCTGTAGTGATGAAAAAAGCAAACGACTTGAAACGTCATGGGTTGAACTGTCGGATTATGACATTGCAGGAATTGCAGCAAGAACAGCAAGCAATTGCCGTCATTCAATGGGTGGCAACCGTGGCGTTTAGCTGTGACCCATTGTGCCAAACAGTTGCAAACTACATCAATCCACAACGGCATTTAGTGCCTCTGCTGCATGCGGACTTTATCCTTTCGAGTCGGTTCACAAAAGCGTGGTATGCACTGCTCTTGAACCTTTTGGCCGTCCCTGCGTTCAAGTCCAACCTGGGTGCAGCCTATTGCGACACTTATGACAAGTTGGCGGAGGAGTGTTCCAAGGGCAAAGGTGCCACTGAAAGGAGTGCATACGCCTTGTCCGTCCAGTTCCTCAACAGAGATACCTACGTTTTGGACCTCGTCTCCAATCGCGATTTGCTGTCCAAACTGGGGAAAGCATTGTTGACTACTCTACGTGCCGCGGAGGAGCCTCTCCAAAAGCGCCTCAATCCGAATCACGTGGTGCTGACTTCCCGTCGGTATAATCCATGCGTGTCTGACCTTTTTTACGTGATCAACGTGAAAGGAATGAAAAGACTCACCACCTGCGATAAGGTGTCCTTCTTGACAGACTTGCTGGCAGGGGTGAGCCTGGCACAGTGCATGGACACTCACTCTTGGAGGCACTGGGATCTCGGGCACGTGGAAGAAGAAGATGTGGGGTGGTATGGGGCATTCAATCTGTCGATCAAACTAGGCGGTCTCTTTGAGAACGTCTTGGCCTTCGACGACGATGAGCCATCTCCGGTGAAAGACCCAGCATCACCTCTGTCAAGCGGTCTCTTGACATGTGCGGAGCTTTGCTGCAAGGTTCTTGGCTACAAAGTGCTGGGCTTTAAGAACCTGGGAGGCGGAATCGGTTCATGGCAAAAGGAAGCATCGAATAGTCTGCAGCCAACGCCATACTCTTCAGCTGTTGATCCCCATCGACGAAGGTCTGCAAGTCTACCTTTTTCTACTATTGCTGCGAAGCGTGGCTGTGCCGTGGCATTTCGACAGCTTTCACTTGGGCAAGTAAGCCCATTCAGTCTGCATCTGCCGTTGCATCGGTTTTTTTCAGCTTGTCTACGCGAGCTGTGCTTTCGGCCAGATTCAAAAGGAGCAGGTGCATTAATGGAGTCCCTGGCAAGCGGAATGCCAAAGGAAGCCCTTGATGACATTTTCCACGGTCTTATGGAATGGCCTGTCCTCGTCCTGTCCCGGGCCTGCCAAGTGCGCGCTGGTTTGTGGAGAAGAAATGGGCCCGGCCTGAATGAGCAAGTGGTGAAGTATTCCGACCCAACATTTTGCCGGTCGATGCGGGATGCTGATATGATGCTGGTGCAGTTTTCAGTCCTGCAGTACAGGTCACAACAAAGCCCCACTTCTCGGCCCAGCAGCGACAGCAATGTGGCAACTTTTGTTCATCTTCTGTTGCACCGGTTAGGATTGTTTGACTTTGTTGGCCTTGCCAAGGCGCCCAATGCGGATCCGGATGCATATGAAAAGGAGACATCCGAGGGACTTTTTCCACGTGAAACTGGAGATGACAACACTACCAAAGCTGGGCTGGTGCTTCCATGGACGTACACCCCGGCTCGAGATGCCGCTGACTGCCGTGCTCTGGTCGAGGAATTTTTGTACACGCTCATCGTTTTCACTACAGAGCTGCCCCCGCCGGCACCCGTCGACGAGGCTGACCACACTAACCGAGCAAAGTGGCGACTGCGCAGAGAGGTCATACACCGGCTAGCAGCCAGCCCTAAAACACACAGCGAATTGGCCGATGTGCATTTGGTTCTTTCCTATCGCGACAATGTACTTCTGAGTGAGGTTGGCAAGTCAATAAATCCAGATGATGCCACCGCAGCCATGCTTGGTCAGATCTTGTCCGATGTTGCTGAACGGAAGGCAAGTCGTAGCCGCTTGGAGCCTGATAAATTTGTACTCCTCAAGTCAGCATGGCAGTTATATGATCCGTCCTTCTGGCATCTAAGGTACGTCATCTGAGCCGCTGGAACTCGAGCTTTTGGAAAGATCAATCGTTTCTTACGTTGCGCCCTTCTTCAGCGTCGAGAGCCACCAGACTGCAGCCGAGAGCCGCCCTGTGCCGTCAAGCAAAGACGACAAACCCAACGAGACACTGTCGTACGCTCCTCGACCTCCCGCTGCAAACCTTCGATTTGAGAGGCTGCGGCGTGATTTAACCGCCGATGCGACTGTGGTGGCTGTCATTTACAAAATACTCCATATGCACTGCAGAGAAAAGCAGCAAGGACAAGGTCCTGATGTACTAGAGCTCGAGACTGGTAGACTTGCTTACGACAATGAAGCAAAGAGTGAAACATCGCTTGCACGGGCCGTGCATCTCCTTACCCTGGGTTGTTTTGCGTGGGAAGATGCCAAGGGCGACGACGAGAAATGGCGGGACAAAGGAGGCGGGTCTTCTGGCGGCGTCTTTTTCGACAGGGATACACCTCCTTCAGTAGAAAACTGGGTATCTGCAATCTTCTTGACGGACGCGAAGCTGCTGATGGACTCTCCTTGGTATGAAGGACAAGAGAATTGTCTGTTGCTCCTGAAGCGTTTGGCAGTTGACGGTGGGGCTACTAGCGTTTTCATGGTGCAAGATCCTGCAGTTCAGGCAGGTGCGGCATGGCTTCTCGAGTTTGCAGTGCGGCACTCTCCTGAAGCGGCAAAGCTTATTGGGAGGAGAGCGGGCAGCGAAGGTGAAGCCAAGGACGAGTCTGAATTGGAACGCCGAAAGAGAATCGCGAAGGAAAAGGCTATGGCCAGAATGAACGCTGCAGCATCAAAATTTGCCAACGCAATGAATATCGATCTCAAAGAAGCCGATGACGACAATGATGTGGCCGACGCAAAACCGAAGGAGGAATCCGACTTTGAGAGAAGGAAGCGCGAGGCGAAAGAACGAGCGTTGGCGCGAATCAATAACCAGGCCAAAACGTTTGCAGCATCGGCAGGGGTAGAACTCGCAACGGGACCGCGAACGTCGGAAAAGAAAGAGGAATCTGATTTCGAACGTCGAAAGCGAGAAGCGCGGGAAAGAGCTTTGGCCAAAATCAACAACAACGCAGCAAAATTCGCCTCGTCCGTTGGATTAGATACCAAGAAAGAGGAAAAGCCAGAAACCGAGTTGGAGAAGCGGAAGCGAGAGGCCAAGGAGAGGGCTATGGCCAAAATGAACGCCAATGCTGCGAAGTTCGCTGCTTTTATGGACATTGAAATCGACGACAAAGAGGATGGGGGCACCGACCAGAAAGTCGATGCGTCTGGGGCGGTGTCACCGTCGAGTGTCGGCAGTTTGCGGAAGGAGACCCCACAGTGTATCATTTGCAGTGACAGCGATGCCGAATGTTTTGTTGCATTTGCCCAAGGTAGCACTGTGTTGAAGGGCGGTGGACCGTCTTCAACATCGGACAATCGAATGACAGGTGTGAGACGCTACGCTGGCTGCCATGTGGCACTATGTGGTCACGCAATGCACAGTGACTGTGCCGCGTCATATCTCGCGAAGGTTCGGCAAAACGATGACCAGTCGAGTGGAAGGAATGGCGAATTTCGCTGTCCACTTTGTCAACGGCCAAGCAACTGCCTGGTTCCATACGTCGACGTGCAAGCCGATTGGATCGATTCACCTGGCATCCCGAACGAAAACACAACCCTCCATGGCTTTTTAGAGAAGACACCTTGGTGGGTGTCACGCCAAAATAATAGCGTGGTTTGGGATGGACAGTCTGCTTTCGAAGAAAAGACCGGCACCGATCAGGTTGGAGACTTGGATCAGCCTTCAGGCGAAGTGATGGTGCTTAAGAATCTCATGGAGCACCTTGCTGGAATATCTTATGAAGCCGATTTGAAGCGACTTGGATCCGACAATCTACAACAGGACTTTGGAGAATTTCGTCATTTCAGAGCCGAACGGCGCTTCTACGAGAAGGAAAACGATGCAAACGGCTGGCCGTCGTGTCTCTTCTCGGAATCCGTCGAAGAAGACGTTCTTCGGTCCTTCTCCAGAGAAAAGTTCATAGCGCAGCTGTTGATGTCAATTGAATGCATCACGTACAGCGCTACTTGTGAGACATTTGACTCGCGCCGCAAAATTTGCGAGAAGTCAACCACATCAAGTGATGACAAAGCCGCTGCGATTGAATCAAACGACCTCAAGCAAGTGAATTCAAAGTTTGGCATTGCTGGTGCCCTGTGTGAAAATCAATTAGTTCTCATGCCAAAACCTTCCGCATCTGAAGACCAGGGTGGGCAACCTTTCAATGGCCGATTTGGTCGTCTCCGAAATTTTGGGCTTGCAGTACTGGCGGCTTCGGGGGCGGTGGGTCCTGACTTGGTTCAGTTGGCTATCCAATTTCCATCACCAGTTGCTGATAAGAAGCAGGGGACGCCTGAACGAGCTCCGATTTGCTTTCCTATTTTGTTGGGGCATGTTTTGACGCGTGTTGTCGCTGCTATGAGTTCCACCTGTGGTCGGATGGTCGCTCCGGACGAGTGGGCGAAAGCACTGCGCGGAAAAGTCAACAGTCACGATTCTTCTGCTGCCGTGAACAAAAAATCAGCATGTATCGTCGCTGACGATTGCGAGGGTTTCTTGAAACTGGGTTTTCTTGCGAGGACCATGCAGGTTCTTTGCTCCGAATTAGAAGTAGGATTCGACAAATCCTCGGCTATGTGGAGTTCTGTCCGTGCGGTTGATGGCTCATTGTATAACGATTGTTCCCAATTGGAGAACGAGTGGATAGATAGCTGCCGCATCCTCTTGGTGGCTGTCGGCGAACCCAAGACTTCGAGTGTTGAGAGTGCCCCACTTCCTTCCGACTTCAAGGACAAGTTCCGAAGTGCCTGTCTGCTTGCTGCAGGTGCTGCCGCCGCGTTCCTTGCCGACGCCGGTACTATCGTGCAAATCCTTGTTCCTGGCATCATGGCAAGATACGAAGGTAATGCGGTCACCGATAGTGTCGACGAGAAGAAGACTTGTTTGAAGCGCCTCTTCATGCTTCGATCTGTCTTTCACATCGAATCCTTCCAAAAGATGTTCGAATCTGCCCTCGTCGTCGAGGTTGTCAGGACATGGTATGGTGACGCATGTGACTTTGCGAAGAAGGCGAATGTTTCTCAGGGAGACAGCGGCAAGACGCTGCTCGCTGGCCAAACGTTTCGGTCTTATGATTGGCCCTTGGAATCTGTGCGAGGCTATCCTGGTGTGGACGAGGTTCCGTTGGTTGTGCCAAAGAAATCAACACCTCTGCTTGGTGGGTACAATTTTGATGTGCAGTCTGCCGACAATAAACGCCCCTGTGTAGATGCGTTGACTTCTTCCTACATGGATCTTTACGCAAAGATCGGAATGCTCAAGCCGGATGCTGAGCGTACTGCGGTGTGTTTGGTGTGCGGGGAGGCTCTCGACGCCTCTGGAAAAGGTGAATGTACTCAGCATTCGTACAAGTGCGGAGCTGGAACCGGAATATTCTTTCTTCTGCAGGATTGTGTTGGTTTGATAATGCAAAGGGGTGAAGGATCCTTCATTCACAGCATCTACGTTGACAGCCACGGCGAAACACCACGCGGACGCCCCCTTTATCTTGACTTGGCCCGTTATGAGCATATGAGGGAGATCTATACCGGTCATGCTGTGAAGCAGCGGGTCCTGATGGAAAGAGAAAGCACCCAGCAAGGTGTTGTAACCGGCTTCTATTAGTCAGAATAACTGCTGGCTAGTCTTTTCTTGCAGTTTTGCTAGTCTAGTAGAATCCGTGGTCAAAAGCCATCCAGCAGTGTCAAGAGCAGGCTTAGTGGTCGCACATGAACACAGGATCGTCGGCTGGAGAGGCAACAGAGGGTGGAGAATCAGTATGTGAATAATTTAGCTGATCATGCAGAAAGAAAGCCAGCCCCGACCTGTACTTACATCCTGGAATATTCCCTGTCCCTGCAGTGTAGGTCTTGACCTTCAGTGTAAGAGTGGCCGTACCCTGTTCGTACTTTGCCAGCATGGAGTCGAATCCAGCAAACGCGTACACCGAGGCCGTTTGGCCAATGGTACAGACCACCTTGCCTTGGAAATTCACAGGATGCACATACTTCGGACAGCCAAGCCATTCAATGACTTGTGCCCCCGTCAATTGCCATCGATAAGACCTTGCAGTTTTGTTGACTTCTGGATATCCCTTCATGAGTTCTCGGGCAGCCTCGAGAGTTGGCACTTCTTCGGTCATTTCCGTGGTTGGACGACCCTTCCAATTGTGAGGCTTCTTCTTAATCAACGCCGTCAGTGTCTCACAGATTCGTGACTTTGCTTGATCCACTTTGTAGGTCGTGTTTACCTTGACCCTTGGAGGCGCCGGTATCAATGGCAGCAACGTACTGGCCTTGACATAGATGGGTTTGGGAGGAGTTCCATTTAGCAAGGCATTGAGATCGACGCCACCACCACCTGTTGTGTTTCCTCCACCCATGCCGCCCGGCATTGCCAAGGCATTGTTGTTGTTGGCTGGCGGATCACCAGGGGCCTTGGGTTCTCCCGGCATAAGAACGTTCTGTCCGAGATGTTGCTGTTCTCGTTCCGATGCCACAGACCGCAACAGTCGGACCAATTCTTCTTTGGATAGTTCCTCCAGATCCTGAGGAACTTGAGTAGTTTTGCACCTGGCATACTGGCGCACCCACTTCTTCCCCCACGACAGAGAGGCACTGAACTTGTTGGTCATTCTCCGTTCACCGTCTGTAAGGAAGGGTTGCCTGGCATCCTCTTCCAAGAGTTGATGTTTGATCTCGTTCCCCTTGGCGGCAATCATTCTAGCTGTGATGGGTTGATCCGTTTGAGCATAGTGTGAATCCATGAATGCGAGCAGAGCCTGAGTCACGTGACGTAGATGATTGACCGGATTGGCCTTCATGCTGCCTCTTCGTTGCACGGCGTCTACAATCTTTTCCTTGTTTTTCATCCAGTCACGGAGGGTTTGTTCCGCAACACCATAGTGCTTGGAGATATCGGTAATGGTCCCATAAGTGTTCTCTTCCAGTTCACTGACGACCCTCATCTTGAAGTCATTGGAGTACCTGGTGCGAGTAATGTTTGTTTTGGGAGGTCTTTGACGACGACTGAGCTTTTTGGGTTCTGTGGGTTCGTCGTCATCGTCATCCCCCTCCTCTCCCAGAACATCCCCCATGTGACCATCAGGATCATTAGTGTTATTTGTTGTCTTGGTGCGTTTGCGAGGTGGTGGAGGAGGCAAATCGTCGTCATCCTCCTCGTCATCATCGTCGTCGTCACCCTCCTCTTCCTGACCCGTCATGATGTGTCGTTGTTGCTTTTGACCCTGCAGCTGCTGCTGTACTACAAATGCGGTCGCTGCTGCCACCGCATCCATCTCGGGAGTGTTGTTGTTTGTTGGGTCACCCATGGGTGGTGGCACGGCTACTGCATTTTGCTGCATGATCTGCTGCACTTGCTGTTGCAGCTGTTGATTGATTTGTAGCTGCTGGTGCAATTGCTGCGGTGGCTGCTGTTGCTGTGGTTGACCATTGGCAGGTGGAGCTTGGATCAGAGGAGGGGGTTGCTGCTGGACCACAAATGTTGGCTGTTGCTGCTGCACTGGCTGTTGTTGCTGTTGTTGAAGCTGGTTGAGCTGATGCTGGAATGCCGGTGCTTGTTGCTGTAGATGCGCCTGAGGTTGCTGCAATTGCTGTACGGGTATTTGTGCCTGTCCAGGTTGCAATTGTTGTGTTTGTAGCAATTGCATCATGGCCCAGTCAGCGTTGTTGTTCTGCGCATTACCTTGGTCGCCACCCAGGTTGAGTTGCCACTGCTGTTGGTTCTGGTTATTAGGTGCACCAAAATGAGCCGCTGCTTGCTGCGGATCCGCTGGGATCCCAGGGAAGCCCATGAACCCTTGATTGCCTCCATGGGTTTGCTGTTGGTTTTGCTGTTGCTGCTGTTGGTTTTGCTGCTGCTGCTGCTGCTGGCAGAATTGAGCCTGCAGCTGTTCCTGGAGATTCTGCATCAGTATCTCTTCTGTCCCTCTTTTATGGTGACGGTACCGTACGAGTACAAATTAAAGCACCGCAGTAGAAAAAGCACCCGTTGCTTCCTGTCTGAAGGCACCAAAATGAGGCAAAATGTGAGGAGCACTCGTCGATTTGATGTGTTTTATGTCCGGTGTTGCTCAAGATCTTCGCAAGCTGTTGCTCTCGTCTTCTTGTGCCCAGTGATAGGATATCGAATTGTTGCGGTTGTGGGTTGGCGGGATAGCACGGTGTGCCAAAGAATTGTTGTTCCGTGGTCACGAAAAGAGCGGGCTGGAGGACGCAAGGACAACAAAAGGTCACGAGATACCGGAATATTCAGATGACAGATGCGGTCTCTAGTATCTCTATAGCTCTACTGGCTGCAAAGTACCTCATTTAAATTATTATTGTGGTGTGGAAACCTAAACAGTGAGGATACTACTACCGGTAGTAGCTACTAGCTAGTAACTGAACCGGCAAGGCATTCACTCTGTTGGTCTTTTTATGTTTTATGGGGCTTCTGACTGCCGAAAGTACGGGTACATGGCCTGTAGGAACCAGGGATCTCTCTGGCATGGTTGCCTCAGCTCTCCTATAACCGATACAGTTGTGTCGGGAACGTGCAAGCGGTGACAACAACTGAGCACTAGCTAGCTAGCCCGAGGTGGGATGGTACGGTACAACCCTCCAGCCATGCACGCTGTCGAGTTTGCTGAAGGTACAGAAGTCAGAATATTCGGTTAGGCTGGGTTGGTTTGGGATTGCCTTCAAAAAGTCCTCAGTTCGTGTGGGGTCAATGTTCGCCCCTTATGCTCGAGCAAGGAAATGCTAAGGTGGATTGCAGCTCCAATGCGAAGCAACCCCTCGTCCCACCAAGACCAGCAACACAGCGGGAGCAATTTCTTCGCTGGTCATTGCACTTGCTCGGCAGGCTAGGTTCGGTTCAACTGGAAATTCCTTGGCACACCAAGCACTATAAAGTAAGTGAGAATGCTAAAATATTTTACAAAGACAGGCCTCCAGTCAGGGTTAGGGTTGCTGAGCCTGTACAAGATAGCTGCTACTCTGAGTTCTGAGTAGCTAGCAAGCGGCAAGCGGAAGTAACAAGTATCAAGAAGTCTAAAAGGCAGGGCACTAACCCTGTCAACTTGCTAGTAGATGATGGCTGGGCTACAATAACAATTGCAAAGGTATCAGATTCTAGCTGGCTGGCTAGCAGCCAGGTAACTTACCAACAGTCGTGACGGCCTTGTGGGCGACTTGGAACGTTCTCATCACGAACGGTGTCTGTGGCCAAATTAGTCTTTGAGGTTGTGTTCGGATTACCGCCGAATTCTGTTGGTGACTGCCACTGGCATGCAGTGGTGGTGGCAAGGAACCAGTCCAGGTGGCGGGTTGGCTTGTCCTTGAGCTAACGGGAGTTTCCGACCAGGAGGCCGAGTCTAGCTAGCTCTAGCTAGATAGCGAGAAGAACCAAGGAACCTCAAGCTAGCTAGCTAAGAAGCTACCGTTGCAATAAGCAAGCTCATGGTTGGGATAGCTTTACATTCTGTATTTTATTAAAAGTTATTTTCAGTAGGTATAGTAGTATGTTTGTTTCTCTAGTAGTGGTAGCGTGGGTTGTATTGTGTGAACAAAAGGGTGGGTTGTCGTCGTCGTCTTCAAACTGCCACAGCACGAGGAGACACGTCCAAGGAGTCCATGCGACGTGCTGACCAACGGTGGCGACGACGGGAGGATGAGGAAGAAGACGTACTAGTAGACGATGCTGAGGACCTTCGTCGTTGTTGTCTTCGCTTCTTCAAAAATGGAGGTGATGTAGGTGATGGTTTGTCACGAACGACCACCAGAGCTGCTTGGATTTGTTCGGAACAGCGACTGGTATAGTCGGTATGAGTGGCGTATGAAAAAATGGCAGCAATGTGCTTCAACAGAATCTCGTCCATTCCCAGTGTTCGCAGGGCATTCTGGACGGCAAAAAAGGCAATGGTAGATGCCTCTGTCAAGGCAAAGAGATCATAGTCCAGCATGCATCCTTGGATTTGAGCTTGACATAGCTGGTAGGCGTGATCCTTCATTTTGGAAGAGACACTGCAGGGTAGCAGTAGAAGGAACTCTCGCACAAATGTCAAAGCGGTGGGAGGGTTGGTCCGCCATCCCATGGATTGCAGGATGCAAAGTTCCATCTCTTCGACTTGTTGTGCTGAAAAGAGTCCATGGCTAAAGGCTGACATGGTCTCAGCACTCACAGTGCAAGGGCACAAATCATCATGTGCTTCATGAGCATGCACTTTGGTCGTCAAGTAGAAACATGCCATGGTGGCCAAGCGATAACTGGGAACAGAGGATAAGATGGTGTTTCCTTGGGGCGTTTGTGAGAATCGATCCAAAAGTGTGGCAGTGGTGATGGCAATGTCATCGTTGAGCTTCAAAAAGGAAGACACCTTGCAGACCCATTCCAGCATCTCGGCTCGTGTTGCTTCCGTAACGGATTCAGCTTTGCTGTCGGCAGCTTCCAGATAATCGCGACATTGGTAGCAAGCGGACATTTCCTGTTTGCGAAGGACTTCCACAGTGCTGGGTCCTTCACAGCAGCGTGATGAACTGCTCGATTGTCTGATCATTGTATTGACCATCGTTGTTGCTTGCTGGATGTTCTTTCTCGGAACAATTTTATGAGTAGAAGTTTGACACCGGTATCGACGGGGTATATGAATGTCTTTATCTATGGCATGAACTTGCAGTCAAGCCTGATAGCTTGCTAGCTAGCAATTCAATGCGATTGCATAAACGCAACTGCCCGGGTCCATGCAAACCTCACACAAGTGGTGGGTATCAACAACTTGCTTGATTGATGATGATCAGTAGCACAGCAACCAGTAGTGTCAACAAGCCAACAAACGAGCCACAAACGGAGCGGTCTCGTTTTTGGTCGCTGAGAATTGAACCGAAATTGCAAACGTCAACCAAACTGCAAAAGATACATCGCTGTACTTTCAGGCAGGCTTTTCTGGGATACTCTGGCATATTGAATGGTTTGACACGCTCGTTTCAATTCGACGTGGCGGAGTGGTTCAGACATAGTTTGATCAATAATTTGACCATTTCAGGTTGATTTTGATTGTTAAAGAGTGATTAAACAACCGCTATACCTTCAGGAAAGAATCTTAGGAGTTGAAGTGCCACCAACCAATTCATCAAGTTCTACAAGCTGTTCATTCATCATCAGCTGTTCATCGGATACCGGTACCTGGCTCTTGTTTTCGGTCACTCTGCCTTTTCTCCGAATTCACCAGAGGGAGGGTATCCACGTATTAGTATCCACTTATTAGTCGCCTGTAGTTTCGTATTCTTGAACGTGCATTCTGCCTCCAGCGACTTCCGGCAGTATCAAATTCTAACAGTGATTACTCAAGAATTAAGAGTCTTGTTCTACTCGACTCTTCTCATGCAGCCTTCTTTTGCCACGTACTGGTATTATGGACTTAAGATGTGCTCGTGTCACGCTATTCAAAGGCTTCCCTTGGACACACAGATGGTCATTTGATTGTTAATGACAAGGGCTACTTCCCCAAGAAGGAGCAGCTGGGGACAGTCCAGATGCACTTGGTAGCACACTTATTCTTTTGAAGGAAGCCAGCTTGGTTACTGGGACCGGCGAAAGAATCCCGTGAACCCATGCCCGGCTCCGCGTGTAACCATCAATGGCATCAACAATGGTGTCGCTGAAATCCACCTCTCATCGCTACCGCTATCCTGCTGGCTGGATAGCTGCTACCTGGTACTAGCTGTGTAGCTTCTAGCTAGTTATTATGCCAAGTGAGTGCTATGTGCTCTTCTTGTTTAATGAATTTAAAATATTATAGCAAAGTAGTGCAATGTACACGTAGATATCGTATTGTCAAAGGAATCGAAAGGGTCATATTGTGGCGTTCTTCTAGGCAGGCCACTGGTTGATGGGTAAGCACCGTGGTTTGTGTGGTGCAAATAATGTGTACGTAAACTTGATAAAAGCAGGCAAAAGGATACTCCTGGCTTGAGTAAGTGAAGTTGAAGGGTAGCTAGCTAGTATGTGATGGAACGAGGATCCATGTTGTAGGTAGGCGTGCAGGTAGCCAATAAGTCGGTTGGTTCCCGAGGCATGTCTTGTCGGTGAACTAACCCTGAACTGCAATGCATTGCATTGCATGTCGTTGGAGTGCAGTAGTAGTTTGTAGTTTGGCTTGTGAGCTGTTGTTGGTAGCGTGCGTGTTCGTCATCTCAAGGGGCAACAGGTTGGTCATTCAGGATCAACAATTTGGTGGCTGTGCTACTAGTCGACTTGCGTCAGTCATGACTGTTATCGGAACACTTGGGCTGTACCGCTTCGAGCAAATAGCTAACTGGATGAAAGCCTTGCTGCTGTCCATGCCTTGTTGTTTGCTGTGCTCTCTTTCTCTTCGTTTTCTTTTTAAAAAACTTAAGAGAAAACACCACAGGGAGACTCATTGAAAGTAGCTCGTTGTTCGTCCATATAGGATGATTCCTTGTTTAGTGGGGAGATGGAGGCAGCAAGACCTCCGGCACAGTTCATGCCCACGGCAGTTGGAGAGGAAGCGTCTGTTATGTGTTCGATAACAGCTTGATATAAGGATTGCTGAATGTCCGTACGGACACTTTCATGGTCAATGCGCGAGGCATAGGATAGCAAGGAACCAATATGGCCGAGCAATACTGGATCCATTCCCTGAACTTTCAGCGCATTCATGACGGAAAAAAGAGCCACCGTAGAAGCCTTGGCATTGATCAAACTATAGTCCATGACCGACGTTTGAATTTGTGGCTCACAAAGCGAAGCTGTCTTTTCTTTCATGGCATCCGAGACCGAGTGTGGTAATAGGTTCAAATACTCTCGTACAAAGGCGACCGCCGTTGGAGGATGCAGATACCACTGGAGGGCTGCCAACACATGGAGTTCCATCTGTTCCACCTGATCATGAGTAAAAAGACCGTTGCTCAAGTTGGCCATGAACTTGGAATCCAGTACCACATCTTCGTGGATCTTAATGCTCAGGTAGAGACACGCCATGTTGGCAAGTTGGAACAGCTTGGAGCAGCCCAGAGCCTCGGCTCCTGCCTTGGTGAGCAAGTAGCGATCAAAGTAATTCATGGATATTTCCACAGTCTCGTGGTGAAAGCTGAGAAAATCAATGACTTTGTAGGACCACTCCGTCATGCTTTCGCGATTGGCATGGTCCACGTTGAGCGTGGGAGGAGCAGTTGGGAAGCAATCGTGCTGTCGAAAGTAGTCTCCCCGAATCGCGTAATGCTCTTCCTCTTGCTTTCGCATCGCTTCCAAGATAGTAGGCTCCATGGTTGGGTAGTTAGTTAGGTGGGTAGATAGAGAGTAGTAGTGGTAAATGGATGGTGTTGGCTGATGAAGCAACTAAAATGACAGCAGCATGTCGATTTTAGTCGATCTTTGGGAGAGGTCCAGGGTCATTAATGAGAAGAAAAGAGCAGCAGGCAAATTTTGATGGATGGCAGCGTTGGATGGACCCCCGAAGTACGCACAAGCACCAGCACCAAAAATTCTCACAACGCACACTGTGCGGACTTACGGACGGGAATCTGGGAATATTGATTGGAGCACAGCAGCAGCCACAGCTGCCACTGACCATGAAAGTTTCCCCGAACGCATTTCCTTTGACATTTCCGGAGTTCGTTTGGAAACAAGCTTTTAACTCTTTGCTCATGTAGGTAGCCTTTTCTGCCACACAATCTCGTTCATCACGGAAGCTGTCCTTTAAAAAGCACAGCAACCTTTCCGAGGATGACACACGGCAGACAAAACTGCAATGACATCCCTTGACATCACATGCTTGGGCCAATCAAAACGAAGAAGAATTCGAATTTCGTTCCTTCCTGTCGAACTTTGGTTGGCGGTACATGTAGTCTCGGCTTTTGGAAGTCTCGGGTGGTGCGCAGTTTCTTTGAAAAAGGGGCCCTTTCTGTGACTGGACCCTCAGTTGCTAATGGACCCTCACTACTTGCTCAAAGGGGTTGCGTTGACCGCTACGGTACCCAAAGGCAATATCTCACAAATGCTAATAAATCTTTATTCTCACTGGTTGCTCACCAAAGATACTCAAGATTTGATCAGCATCCGGTACAACTAACTTGAAAGTCGGATGGCACCAAGTTGGAACCTACAGTGAAGCAGGAATGCAACCTGAAAGCCAAGAACAGAAAAAGATACAAAGACAGCGAACAAAGAGATAGCGCACCTCTTGCCGATAGAAACGACGACACCCTTGAAGGGACATGGCGGAGGAGACGGCGGCGGGTCTCTTCCTTTTCAATTGATAGTCTCCCACAACATTGGCTGAACCATGTCGGAATCATCAACCTCCCTCTTCGTCATGCTATGGGACTCGTTGCGCCGCCCTCGAGTGCTCTACAGCAGTATTTATGCATGGATTAGCGTTACAGGTACGAATGCGGGTTGCTTGCAAACTAACTGACTTTGCTCCATGCGTGGTCTGTTTCTCATGTAGCGTTTGTGTCATTGCTACCCAAAGGTGGCCGCTTCCTGGCACCATTCTTGAGAAATTTAGGGCTGAGTGACACTGAAATCGGAGTGGCTCTGGCGTTGCAGCTTGCCATTATGACTTGCATTGGACCATGGGCCGCAAGGGTAACAGAAGCACTAGAGAGTGAATACCCAGGCCGGGGAAGGGCACAAGTCTTGACGACAGGAATCATGTAGGTCTGCCACAAGGAAGGGATCAGAAGCTTTTGCCAATGAATTGATGTGCCGTGTCTAACTTCTTTGTGATGCTTTGCAGCTACGCCACAATGGAGTACCTCATGAATGCGCTGGACTTTGAAAACAAGAATTGCTATGTTGCCCTGTGCGGTCTTTACACTGTGGGAGTTGCGATGGTGTTTCCAGCTTTGGATGGAATGACGAACGACTTTCTGGAACGATCTGATAATCCCGACGAAGATCTTGCCAGAGAACGACTCTATGGAGCCATCATCTGGGCATTTACGAACTTGTACATGTCAATGGCCCTCGATTGGTATGGATTCAATGTTACCTATCCCATGGCCGCAATCTGCGCAGTCGCTGTGCTATTCTCTATCTGCATCTATTCCACTGGTCAATTTCTTGACAACAACGAAGACATTGAAACCAACGTCAACATGACGGATGTCACAGACTTGAAAAAGCCAGCCCTGAACAAGCCAGCAACCGTGGCTCGTGATCCTGGTTGCGATGATGACTCTCATCACAGTGATGCCCACACAGCAACGACTGCACCCACTCACCAGGACAGTGAAGCAGGAGAGATGTCTTTGAGATCGATACTTGGAAGTGACATGAGCTCGGTAACAGAAAGGTCAATGGACACTTCGGCCTTTCATGATGCTTGCTCGGTGGCGGAGAGGTCCGTTGAGACTGATGACGGCAACTCGATGGACTCGTCCATTCGAACCTCGGATGTGACAGAAGGATCACTCCATAAGAGTTCCGGTATGGATACTTCTGTGAAATCCGTCAGTAGAAGTGCATCGTTCATCATGCAAGGTCGTAAGCCTCTTTCCACTCGGGCGGTTCTGGAAGAGCAGACCCAAAGAGATATTCACAAGAGGAAGACTGAGGACAAGGCAAGAAGAAGCAAAAAGGCAGCTGGAGAGGAAGATGATGATGGCTATCAGTCCAGTCTTGGTGAAGAGTATCTGTTGGTGTTCCAGGCAATGACCTCATCCTGTTATGGATGCGCTTTCCTGTTCCTCTATCTCAGCATTTCGGCCGGGCAATCCATGGTGGACAACCTAATCTTCCTTTACTTTGAAGAAATGGGTGCATCGTATCTCATAATGGGGTATACCATTGTGATTACTATCATTATGGAGCTCTCGGTTTCCTATGTTGCCCCCAAGCTGGTGAGTGCGCTTTCTGGCAGTGTTTGCCTGTATATTTTATTGTCTGCACAATCATTCTCATTCATCTTTTTTGTGTGGAACCAGTTGACGGTCTTCAACTACAATGTCTGGCTAGTGATTGCAGGGCTGGCTTACATCGTTCGAGTAATCGGCTACACGATGATTCCACGGAATCATATCTGGATGATTTGGGTCTTGGAACTCCTTCATGGATTGACCTTTGCCGGCACTCTGACGGCCATGGCCGAGTTTGCCGCCGTAGTGGTACCATACAACCCCAACCAACAAGCCACGCTGGTGCACCTGGTGTCACTGCTGCGTGGCAAAGCCATGACTGCAGCCGTCTTTTGGGGGGCGCTGGTGCAGCAAGAAGTTGGACCCAAGTACATGTACCGACGTTACACGCTGGTAGTGATCCTCGCCGTCCTGTCCTTTGGGTTAGCCTTGTTGATGGACTTTGTGTTTTCAGTGGACGCAGTCAGTGAAAACGTCAAACCGCAAGAGCCCAAGTCTCGTTTCGAGGGCATGGTGACAGATGAGGAACTGGCGCGGTCTCGTTGCAACAGCGTCGTGACGGAGGATGGTCTGTTCCAGGACCCTAAAAACAGTGATTTTGGAGACAACTACACTATTTCGTGGGACTCTACGAAAAAGCGAGATGATGGCACCAACCCCGAGAGAGATCTCTCGCGAGTGCTGTAGCACCGAGACAAAGCCGATACGGCTCATCTCAAATGAACCAAGCAACAGTTTGCACAGTTCTGGAGTGCACAGTACCGTTAAGTAATACAAACGAATTAGTTACAAATATGCATGATTTTTACCAGCAATGGGCCTGACTACACAAAGACGCTACTGTATGATCAGAGTAGATGTACATCTTTCGTCATAGGCGTTTTTGCTGAGTTTTTCAATAAAGCCATCACAGACCTGGTGTGGTCACATGATGCGTGGAATTGTGCTACCTGATTTGTTGTTGTTGTTGACTGTAGCTGCATTCTCTCACAACCCCTTCCAAGCCATTTTCACCTACTTCTGGGATCATCTCTCCTTTCCAAAAGCAAGTGCGCCCAATGAATGAATTGTTGCATAATTTTGTTGTCCCAACATGCTTCGCAAGGAGAGCACTTTTTTCTTTCTTTTCCCCCATCGTAATTATTTGGATATTTGGATCACTGCATCACGTCAACGACGGTGGCCCATCTTTGCCTTCGACGGGTCGTCCCGATCCCACCATTTTGGTTCGAAATTTGAGTGATAGGGAAGAACCCTTCTTATCAAATCGAGCCTGCATAGATTCATAGCTGGCCCAAGCATAGACAAAAGGTTTGGCACCCCCAAAGGCAATGACTTTGCCATCGAATTTGACGGGATGAATGTACTTGTTGACGGTGGATGATGGAGTGGACAACCATTCAATGACTTCTGGACCTGTGAGCTCCCACTTGGTCAATCGATGCGTGTCCGATTTGGGTGGAAATCCGTCAAAGAGTGCCATGGCCGAGGAGGCATTCGGGACGGCTTCGTTGAGTTCGGTCCATGGTTTTTTGGCCTTGTTGTGTGCCGTCTTTTTGACGAGTAAGAATGATTTTTTGCCAATTCGTTTCTTGATGGTGTCCACTTTGAAAGAGGATGGAACTGTATTGTTATTGCCCATGTGATTGTTTTGTGCCACGTTTTCGTTGGCTGCCGGAGCCGGTGGATGATGATAGGTGGTGCCCGTGGTGGGTGCCGCGGGGCCAGTGGGTGCCGCGTCGGGGTTGTTATTGTTGTTCGTGCCCGGAGGAGGTAGCGGAAGAGGAGGAGGATGGTGATGATGATGGTCCTGATAGTGAAAGCCAAAGGGATCATGGTGATTGCCAGTGGAGTTTGGATTGTGGTGTCCCTGATTGTTGTGATGCTGCTGGTAATTCGTAGCGGCTGCTACAGCCGCAGCAGCAGCGGCGGAGGCGGATTTGGCCTGTTCGTTCTGGAGAGCAATATAGAGCTCGTCTCGTTCATTCACCACAGCTCGCAGTATACTGATCAAGTGATCGTGAGGCAAGTACTCCACATCCAGTGGGATCTGCGTCAGGCCTCTTGGTCGGTTGCTCATGGTACAGTATCAATAGTGGGTTGTTGCGTCTCTCTTCTTCCTCTTCTTCGTTGCTATAATGGTTCAGAGAGACTTCCTCGTTTGTCTTTGAAGATGCGTGGAAATGAGGCGAAGCAGCAGCGAAAGCAAAGCATTCTCGGTGTACCTGGTAAACGTGACTGAGGTCGACGGCCGATTTTCAATCGAATTTCAATCGAGTGAACGACAGCGTTTTAGTAGGTTAGCTTAGGTAAACTTCTAATTACCGCACCTACCGTACGCAGTGCAAACCAACTTATTGCACAACACCATACCCTTCTAGTTGTAGTCACTGAAGGTGTGTTTGATATGTGTCTTGGCCGGAACCAACATGCCCTGTTCGATTGCTTTTCTCTCATCTATGGACCCTCCCGACTTGCTGGTGCTTGCGGACAGCGACAGCAAATGGTCGATGGGTTGACCAGCCTCATCAAGCTCGCCACCATAGACCCCCATTCACATTGCAAAACACTTGAACAGGCGGGCATATTCAGATGAAGCCAGTGAGTAGGCAGCAGAGCTGATCGTCGACAACTGGGACAACAAGGCCAGTGGCGCCTGGTTCTAGCCTGGGTCTTCCTTCCTTGAAAATGCCCAAGTCGACTTGATAAGGACCCGACTCTCACCCGCCCCTGTTGAAGAAGTGAGTAATTGCAGATTTGACGGCTCCACCTGGGAAGTGCAGGAAAAAACAATCTGTGAGTGGCATGCTGCCAAGATGATGGCATCGTGATGAGTGCGGCACACATTTTCCTGCACTCACCTGGTGTAACTCTAGGCTGTGCATTAGACTCCTGTGGCACATGGGAACTGTTGAAAGACCTTTGGGTCCCAAGAGTTTTGTGGAGCTGCCCTCGGGTGGTTTGTCCCCTTTCCAAATGACAGCACGCCCCAGTTCCCATTGATTTTGAATTGTTCAGTCGCCTGCACGATGCCAGGGCATCCACATCCACTCCGTCTGCAACGAAGTCAACAGAGGCATGTTCAAAGTCATCATAGTCCTCCTCTTCTTGCTTCCAGGGATTGTGGGGAGCACAGTTGTGATATTGGTGACGTTGTAGTGTTGCATCCACATCCAGCCTGATCTTACAGACAGCTTTGCCTGGGTAGGTTAGGTAAAAATTGTGTTTAATATTTTTAAAAATTAATTGACGCATCTACCTTCCTTCCAAAGCCCTCTCCACGACAACAACGCTCACGGCCTGATCGGAACAGAACAGCGGCTACTGTAGCGACGGAAGCGGGCAGTGTCTCTCTCCACCATGATATGATAAATTCAATTTGGCTTATAGCATGTGAGCTGGCAAATTCCGAGTTTGATGGGCCTTGCCAGTCGACTACTGTATTTAGTTTCTCAAGTGGTCGGGAAAACTCCAGTTTGGCTGTATGTTGGTCATTCGGCTTTGTGAAAACCGTTTACTGGAGATCAGTACAGTATGCCATGATCCTTGCCGACGACAAACCACTTCTTATACGATGTCATTATTCCTATGTCAAAGAGAGATAGTAATCACAACGCTGCCATGTCTCTGAAGGAAATGCTACCTTCCCTGGCCAACGATGGCGAAGGGTCTCCTACCTCGGTTGCCTCCAAGAAGATGCCGGCGGGCGAACGGCAAAAATCGAGCTTGAAGGCAGCGTTGCTGAAACGCCAGGATTCGGCCCATTCTACTGGAGGCAAGAAAAGAAGCAGTCGCAGCCCAAAGAAAAGCCGGTCCTCCGGCACTGACGAGCAAGCAGTTCCCAGACCTTCCATGCTCAAGCGAGTCAATTCTCAAGCAGACCGCCGCATATCCTCTCGATCGCCGCCGCGAAGAGCAACACAGACAGACAAGGTCAAGAAGAAAGATATCAAGCGAACTTATTCGTCATCCAGTCGCGACAAAACTCGAGTTCGTCGGAGTAAAAGCCAGGACGACGGACGCATGCATCACACGGAGAGCATAAGCAACCTATCTTCCAAGAGAAGCGGGAGCAAAAGCTCCAATAGAGAATCCAAGAGACAGCAGTATCGAGCAGAAGAGGAATGTCGCAAGACGACCAAGATGGCAAACTCGCAAACTGACAGCAGTGAAGACGAGAGGGAGTTGGAAGCATTGATCCACGCTACTGATGCTGCATTGGATGCTCCAACGACTTCCGGTACCGGGGCTGGACCTTCGAGGCAGTCGCGAAGGGCCTCTAGAGCCCGCACCGTGAGTCCTCATCGTTCCGGCGCTAGTATTCAACGAAGCCAATTGACTCAAGGACTGAGCCTACAACCGGAATCGTTCCATACCAGTTTCTCCCAGACAACTTCAGGGGGCATGTGCAAGCCTGATCCGCTCGCTTCAACCTGGCATTCCAACAGAAGAAACGTCCTTGGCCGAAGCAGGGAGGATCTGATGAAGGAGCTTGGTTACTCTGCTCCTCCACGTACATGCACCAAGAAAAGGGCCGATGACGTTCAAAAGGAAAAGGAGAGTGTCGATGACGTTCAGAACCTTTCGAAGACCCCTATGTCGGAGGCGCAGCCAAAGACCGATGTGGCTCTGTTGTTCAAAATGGTAACCAGTCTTCAGGAGGAGCTTACAGAGCTACGAGAGCAAGTCAAAACGGTACCTACACTCCAGGAGGAGCTTCAAGCTTTGCGCCAGCAAGTCAAACTCCTGAGGGGAGAGCGAGGAAGAGCTGGCACCAAGGCTCCCACTTGTGTCACCCTTGATTCTGATATCTGTACGACTCCAGGCTCGTCAAGTGGCATTGTATTGCCCATCACCAAACATGTAACTCGAACGCCCAAAACGAACGCCAAGCCTGCAGACTACAGGTTCTCCAAGGCTGGGGACGATGATCTTCATTTTGCCGACCTCGAGGAGGTACCCGAAATGGACGGCTCTGAAATGCTGCGTATCATGGCTGCTTGTCTGGCGATGGAACCTGACCCATCGACTCCTGCTGCTCGGAGGGCTACCAAGATTGCAGAAGGCGTGTCGGATGCTGCTCTGACTCTGGGTAAATCTGGTGTGGGTCTTGTCGTGGGCACTCGAAAGGCTGCCACTGATGTGGTCGTGGGCACGGGCAAGGTGGCTACAGATGTGGTTGTGGGGACTGGCAAAGTTGGAATGGACGTTGTCAAAGGCACTGTCAACGCTGGTAAGACTGGAGTCAGTGTGGCAGGCAAGACTCTACGAATGCTTGGCTCTGTGGCAGAGATGAGTCTCTCTGGTTCCCCAAAAAATAACGGCAAATGCAACCCCAACCGTTGGAACAGAGTGACCCCAGGAGAAAAGGCCCATCCTAGTAGTCTTCCAAAGCAAATGAATGATTTGGACGATTCGGACGACGATGACTTCAGCGTTTCTTCTTTCTCCAGTCCTCGCCACGTCCCCACGGCCACAAGCTGAGTCACACCATCCCTACCACACCCTCAGGGCAGGAGCGAGACATGCCTCTCTTTGTGGAGTAACGCTTGAGTAAACAGTAACAACCAAAATGCTCTTATCGCTCAGATTTCCTGTCTGGCCTAGGATAGTCGTGCCAGCTGGCACCTGTGTTGGCTTCACACTGGGCAGCACCGGTACGAGAACGACAGACCCGCTGCTGCAAGTTTGCATTTACTTAACCGCAGCCATTGTTTCAGCAAGGAGCTGCCTGACCTTGGCCTCTGCTCCCCATTCCTGATATGCCAGGATTGCCTTTCCAAAATACTCTGAAGACTCCGATGTTCTTCCAGCTTGAAGGTACATCCTTGCAGCCATTTCGCAGGCCAACGCTTGCTCATTGAGATAACCTTGCAGTTTTGCATAGTGGATTGCCTTGTCAAAAAACAGTGTGGACTTCTCATACCTTCCCGCTGCAACTGCAAGCTCGGCTTTGATGAGAAACAGTTTGTTTGTGTGGTTCTCTGGACACCGTAGCGCTGCCTTTTCGAGGCACCGAAGTCGTCTGTTTGCACCCCAGCGATGCACAAGTGATCTCTTCGCAAAGTTTGCTTCGATGAGACCCTCAAAGAAGATGTAGATATTGTGGATGTACGGAACCTTCACGTCATGGCGTAGCTTTCGAAACTTAGAGACAACAAGAGTTCTTGCATGGTCGAATTTGTTCATATAAATTGCAATGTAGATCTTAAGGCAAAGCGCGAGGAAATTCGTCAAATCGTACTCTGTTTCGGTAAATGACACCTTGCTCGTCCTCTCGTGCTCCTCCATCGCGTCCCCAGGAAATGCCAAAGGATCATCTGATTGACCCATCAAGTTGTAGCAAGCCTGCAATATGGGGTCAATCATCATGTTGATTTGTCGATGGTTGTAGTCATGGGCGAGCGCCTTCGCATATTTGATGTTCTCAACGATTGACGACAAGGCATCCCCAGTAAAGAAGCGAAGCATGAACTGGCAGAATAGGGCAACCATTGCCGACTGCGGGAGGGTCAATGGCACGATACATTTTTATATCAGTTTCCATGACACGCAGTTCAGCATTGTCCAGACTAACTTACATTAAAATCCCCCGTGGCAAAAGCGGAGTGATGTGCTGTCAGATAGGCCCCCAGGCAACTCCGCAACGGTTCAATCTCTGTCATGATGTTGCCCCAGACTGCAATAATGGTGCGGGCTTCAAACTCCCGCACAGGAAATTCTTCCATTATCCGGAGTGCCAGTCTCCCGTACAAGCACCCTTCTTCGACGTTCCCGAGACGCACCAAAACAGATCCATAAAACGCAAACCCGACGCTCCCCATTGAACTTAAGCCGTACTGCAGCGTCAACCTTACCAGACGAAATGCCGTGAACGGGGACATGTTGAAGTCGGTCAACAAGACGATCGGGTAGAACAGCTGAATGATGCTCATTGCTGCTAAAGCCTTTGGGTCTGTCATTGGGGGGAGAGACAGGATATCATGAGTTGTCTTTCCGCGAAGCATTCGACGTGTCTTGTAAAAGTCCCAGTATATGCCCAGTTTGGTGGCCTTGTGGGGCCGCGGAAATCGCTGACCATATTGGTCCAAAGTTTCCAGGCAAAGAATAGTGGCTTCTCGTAGCTGCCATCGAGAATCAAGAGATATGATGCGCGAGGTATATACATGCAGTTTGTCATCAAGGCACCTGGCATTTTCGATGACTTCTTTACTCAGCCGATCCACCATGTCGTGATCACCATTGCAATAAGCAAGCTCACACCCGGTTGAGTACAAGCGCAGGCTCAGCTCGTACTGGTCTCTCCAGTTTCGACGCTCGAGCAGCGTCATTCCGTGTTCAATGTACTGTAGTGCTGATAGAAAGGCAGAACCCTTGGCAGCTTTACGAGCCGCCATGAGACACAGTCTTGCCAGCTTTTCTCTTTCATCAACGCTGTCTAGTATGTGATCACTTCCTTGAATCAGCAGACTGGCAATCAGGAGAATGCTCTCTTCAAACTCCTCCTCGGGAAGTTGCGCCCTCAGCGTCCGTCCAATTTGCAGCTGGAAACGTCCGTTTTGGTCGGACGGAATAAGCGAGAATGCCGCAGATTGAAAACTGTCATGTCGGAATCGTCCAACCCCTTCGTCAAAGTTGTAGATAATCAAACCGTGTTCTTCGGCAACACAAAGTGCTAGTAGCACGCTGGAGGAAGCCACCGAAGATGCATGGAAGAGGAGACTTTCTCGGACTTCGCCGCCAATGCAAGCTGCCACCATGAGAACTTCTTGCACATCGTGTGGTAGCGCCTTCATTTTTTTGGCAAGCAGTCGAACCATTTGTGGATTGTCGGGTCCTTCACTGTTACTGTTACTACTACGAGAAGACAACTCCATGATATCCTCATAAATCTCCCATTCGGCATTGCTGTTCTCTCGCTTTAATAATAACCCCTCTTCCTGCATGGTTTGAAGATATTGGGTGGAAAAGAATGCATTTCCACAAGTTTGACTGTGTACAATCTCTGCCAAGGTGGAGCTTTGTTCCGCGGGTAATATTCCGGCATCTTCAATCATTTGTGTGAGGGTGTCGACACTCAAATTGTCCACCTCAATGTTCACAATGGATGTCCCTTCTTCTTCGAGTTCCCGTAGATGCACCGAAAGCTGATCCTGCACATGTACCTCGTTTCCCCGTACCGTTGCGACGAGCAATAGAGACTGCCGGTTTCCAAACCTTGGCGATGCCAGACTGTGCAAAAGCTGCAGACTTTCACTGTCAATCCATTGCAGATCATCCAGAATCAATGCGATTGGATGTGCCGGAGATAGAATGGCTCGCACAAAACGTCGAAAGGCGACCACGAAGCGTTGATTGCTTTGCTCAGGGACGAGAGACGACGACGAAGGAGTGGCCGAGAGATGGAATAGCTTTCCGAGAAAGGGCATGGCTTCCACTAACAATTGTACTTCGGCTCCCACAGTCGCCTGTACCGTTTTATTGACTTGCTCCACAGCTGCAGGACCCTTGGATTGCAGTATCGTTGCGAATTGTTGTATAGCACCAAATAATGGCGAAAGTGTCTTGGTGGTTTGATGTTGTTGTTGAAACTGATCAAACTTGACAAAGAGATAGTACCCTCCTTGATCCACCACGAGTGGTTTGAGTGATCTCACCAGCTCTGTCTTGCCCGAGCCACTGGGACCCGAGATTAAAATCAGCTCGGGATTTGCTGCGCTCGTGCTGCTGCTTCGTTCCAGTGCCATTCGCAGCTTTCCCTCGTGCTCCTCTCGTTCATATAGCTTGTTGGCAACCACCTTCCAGTCGAGCTTGGAGGGACGAACCGTGTCTCCTTCCTCCTCCTTGCGCCGCTTGAGTTCTTTGCTAATGAACGCTCGGGCTTTTTTGTCGCCCACATCACGCCACAGCGGTGGGTTCGAGTCGGCTTCCTGAACCAAAAATCGTCCTGGTGGATTTTGATTACGCCACGTCTTCAAAATTTCCACCGCCACTAGAGGCTTTTCCATTCGAGGTTTGTTTTGATAGTCCTCCTTGCGAGTCTGGATCAGTTGGAGGATCCGTTGATTGCCCATCCATAATGATTCTTCCGCCTCGTCATCTTGCAGATTAACATCATTCGTTTCGTGAGGATCGGATATCTTTCGATGAGGCCAATCCAACTCCATGCTGAAGCGCTCTTGCTCGCTACTAGCTGCGAGGTACCGTATGTATCATGACGATGCAATCAATGATGATTTCTGTGCTGCCGTTGTTCATCCAGCACAAAATGACATGGTCGGAGGTGATGTTGTGATGTTGGGATCCGAGGTGACGCGATGTTCAGGGGTTATACACGGTAGGGTTAGCGTTTTATTTAGATCTAGAGCTGAAAAAATCCCAAAATCCCCGGTCGAAGATCCGACGTCTTCAGAACCAACAACCACAAAAGCTACCACAACACAACAGGACAGCTCTACCGGTATTGGACTATCCTACGACAAGAGAAGAAAGAAAGATAGACAGATGGGGAGCTCCTCCAAGAAGAAGAAGAACCGCAAACGAACACGCTCACTATCCTCGGAAGGTAGTAGTCGTGTCGAAGAGGATAGCTTCAAACAAGTAGTGAAAGAAGTGAAAGTAGATCCTTGGGCGTTGGCGGGGTGTCGAGGAGCATCCCTGCGAGACGACAAAAAGGCAGTGCTGGCCGCCATCAGCAAAGACTCGTTTGTCTTCCAGTATGCGTCCGAAAGACTGCGGGATGACAAGGGAGTTGTACTAGAGGCAGTGAAGCAAGATGGAATGCTACTCCTGTTTGCATCCGACAGGTTGAAGGACGATCCGGATGTTGTTCTGGCAGCTTGCAAAACTTGCTACACTGCTTGCAACGCTGGCAAGCCCTGGAACCTGGCCGTATTACAGCTTGCTTCTGACAGACTGCGCAATCAAAAGCAGTGCATGTTGGAAATCCTTAAGTTCCAACGAGGGTGGGAATCCTTGAAATATGCGTCCAAGGGGATCCAGGAAGATCGAGAAGTGGCCCTGCAAGCCGTAGCCCAAGATGGAAGGGCTCTCGCACTGTTAGCACCCAAATTTCAACACGACAAGGAAATTGTTCTAAAGGCAGTAGAGAGTCATGGATCTATGCTTCATCGTGCCAACCAAAAATTCTGGAAGGACAAGAAGATTGTCCTACAAGCGCTCAGCCACAAAGATTGTGGCTGGATGTTACAACATGCTTCGGAAGCGCTTCGCAGTGACAAGACTGTTGTCAAGGCTGCCATTGGAAATGGGGACATTTATGCGCTACAATATGCATCCGAAGATGCACAGTCCGATCCAGAAATTCTTAAACTGGCCAAAGAAAGTGCAAAGCAGGCTTTTTTGGTGCATCATGCCGAACCCAAACGATTCCGGGAATTGCCACCGCCGTTGCAAGATGACAAGGAAATTGCACAGGCAGCTATTCAAAGTCCCTATTTCTCTTCGACCATGATGTCGCACATGTCCGAGAGACTCCAGGAGGATGTGTCACTTTTCCAAGAGGCACTGGAGCGGCAACGCGTACTGTTGAAGGGTGCCACACCACCCGCTGGAGAGCACGTGCTGGATTTTGCTCCACTCTCCATTCGGTCCGAATTGGAAATTGAAGAAATCCGGCAAAATCCTCTGCGGTTCCATCACTTGCCCGAAGAGCTTTGTCATAATCGAGAATTTGCTCTGGCGGCGGTGACGGCCAATCCCAAGGTTCTCAAATTCCTTCCTTCTTTCTTTCGAAACGATCGAGATGTTGTTCGAATGGCCATTTCACAGGATGCCAGTTCCCTGGAATATGCCGCGGCAGACTTGAAATCAAAAGATATGGTGTTGCAAGTTGTGAACAAGAGTGGAATGGCACTCAAACATGCGGGTGACTTGTGGAGGCGAGACCGAGAGATTGCCGAGGCAGCCGTGCGGCATACGGGTGCGGCCATTCAGTTTGTGGCAAAAGAGTTGGTCGATGCACATCCCGAAATTGCAAGGACAGCCGCCACACGTAATCTGGGTGCTATCCAATTCATTCCAGAACCTCTCAAATCCAAGCTGAGAAATGATCCGGAAATCGTGGCCAAAGCAGGCCGCGGCCTCCCGCCGTCGGCTTTTTGGTGCCATGTGGGAGAAACGCTCCGAAAACGTGTTGCATCCGCAGTCTCGGCTCTCCGACAGCATTGTGGAGTCTCTGGTACTGATGAAATCAAGTCGACAATACACGACGAGAAGAGCATATTGAAGGTTGCAGAAGAGCTACGTGAGAGAAAGGAAGACCAATTGAATGAAAGCATCACCAACCTAGTGGTTTGTGCTCCTTTGCTTACGATGTTTGCTGGAAGCAGCAGTTGTTGGGATGAGGATGTGGGGATGACATGGAATGAACTACCTGTATGAATGGTAGTTGCGGACAGCATGTTGGCTGGATAGGCTAATTTATCAGAGATGGAATGGTGATGCCTCCCAACATGCTATTGTACGCCTATACGAGGGAGTGATCTACGAGAATTCCAGGGACTAATTAAACAGCAATGGTTTTGATGTGTACACATCTCTACATTCGAATGCACAATTATTTACTTTCTCATGGACTTGGTGATGGCCTCGTAACCAATTCCCACAGTTTTGCCGTCTTCCACAGGAAATCCTTCCCCGGGTCCTTTGGCTCCTAGTCCCACCAGTAGCAGTAACCGACCAATCATTCCAAGAACGAACTTGGGAGCGTTGTGTTCTGCAATCACTGTCATTTGTGGCTGCTTGGCCTTGACTTGCGAAGCTGGGTCTTCTAGGAATTTTCTGCCATGAAAGCACAGAGTGGGTTTATCCAGTACTTCTCTGGGAAATGGGACTTCGTTCTCCCCGCAATCAGTCAAGGGAGATATGGTGGGACAGTACACCAAATTCAAAGGAGAACCATCCGGGCTGATACTGAGAGGTGTTCCACAACAGGTGGTAAAGACACGGCGATTCTCCGTCTTGGGAGAAATCTTCATATGTGCCAACAGCTCTTTGCCAGAGACTAATTTGATCTCACTCGAATAGAACAAAATGGTGGGAACTCCTGGGTTGAAGAATGACTCTTGAAAAGCATCCTCTGTTGATCCCTCCTTCAGAACCTGTGCCACGAAAAGGGGATCCATAAAAAATAAATGAGTCGAGTCCGGCAAACAAAAACAGATGCAGATCACACGACCACGAACGGTACTTTTTCAGCTCACAGCCTTGCAATAACCCATGCAATCATTGCAGCCACATTGGATATTCTGAGTTTCGGCGTACTTGTAGTTGGCGGCTGGTTGATGGATTTCTGCCTTGACTTTGCCACAGTGGCACTGAAGAGTTGCTCTTCGAGTTGCCCGTTGGTTACGCTTAGAAAGGACCAGCCCAAGCAGGGCTGCAGAGCTAACCACCACAGCTCCTACCGCCACTACAGCCAATGTCTCCTTGTTGTTGCGGAGGGCCTCCATCATGGTTTCAGCGCTGATAGCAAACTATTTTATAGCAAAGTGCACTCGTGTTCTCGTGGTGAAAAGCCATATTCTACTACTAGCTAGCTAGCTAGCTAGCTAGCCAGCTAGCCAATAGTCCTCGCACTTGACTTCGAAAAGAAATCGCAGATAACGAATAAACTAGCTACATAAACATGTACAGTAGCTCCCGAGAGCAGGAGTCATCGAATTTCAATATTATTATTGTTATTGGCAGCTTGTCCACACCCACATGCTCGTCTGCCAAGATAAAGGATTGCAAGTCGATTGTGACAGGAACACTGGATCACCTTCCTGAAGATGCATTGGAAACAGCGACTTCTCCCGCCTGTCAACGAAGGATTGATTCAGCCCGCCCTCAGATCTCCGCTTCTTTGGAAATGTTGCCGTTGATGTGTGATGTGTGAGCCAATGCCATGCGTGGAGGATCTATGTGTTCCTACGGCTGTCTCGCCACAACCAATGGCAATAACTCGGCTTCCGGTACGGTGGCAGTAGGCTATTAATAAGAGAAAGGTCACTCAATCTGGAGCCATCACAAGCGTTTGAGTTGCTTAGGAACAGTTTTCGAACCACTGAGGTGCAGCAAAAGCACCGGTACGATAAGTGAGGGGGGCTAAAGAGAAGTACCAGTACGGTTCCCTACTATTAATACAGTGTACCCGCATTGTCTATCAGTCAGAAACTATCTTTTTGTAAAGTCAAGGAAACGGCGCCCGCCTCTTAGTAGAGAGTGCAGTGGAATCTCGGGCTGGTAAAGTGGCCGTGGAAGGCTGCATGGCTTGCCTTGGAAAGGAACGAACCATACGCCTTACAAAGACTGACAGAAACTGCGGGGAAAGCGGGCGTTTCATCAGTCAGTCAAAGTAGGCCATTTTGAGTATGCACGAACGTAAGAGCGTGGAAGTCCAAATCCGAAGGGTGCTTCGCGACTCTGCCACTCCTCTTCAGTTCATAATTTCGACCCGGAGACAGTTCGAACACCCACTCGTACCTAGCTTTATCGAACATCAATCTGTTGACAATGAAACTTGCTTTGTCTTTGATCTCTTTCCTTGCCGTCGCTGTTGAGGGCAGCGGGTATTCTCGCATGGTTCTCAAGTACGACCATGGCGTTCACCTCGAAGATGTGGCTGCGGCTGTGGACGTCGCTGGGGTTCACGTCGAGCGGCAGCTGGCTTGTACTCGAGGCCTCCTTATCTCGGTCGACGAACAAGGGCTCGAAGCTCTTCAAGACTTTGGTGGGATCACGGTGGTTCCTGAAGATGATAGCCATCCTGTTGTTCGTCGCTTGCAGGGTGTCAACACGCCTCAAGGCAACGGAGAGTGTGACTACGCGCAGACTTGCGCTAACTTGCGTACAGTCGCTGAGTTGACGGTCGACAACGTCAACGATATCAAAAACGAAATCCGCAGCGAACTCGAAAACGGTGACCTTAGCTTTGATGGATCCCTTGGTGACAATGCCGGTGCCGTGATGCGTCTTTTGTTTCACGATGCCGCCTCCTTTGACAAGAATGATGCTGCGAACCTCTCCGGTCTGAATGGATGTGTCAATCGGGGCAACTCTGGGAACGCCGGTCTTGGAAATGTCCAAGCTTGGCTCGTGGGTTTACAGGAATTCCTTCTCTCGGACTACACTATCAACATCGTAAGTAATGTGGATGATACTCGTGTGTGTGTAAACGCTGGTTGGCCGTCTTACTAACGCAGCGTGTCTTGCTTCGTTTGATTTCGCAGTCCATCTCCGACCTTACCGTGTTGGCAGCGATTACTGCTCTTGAGGTTACAATTGAGAGGGCCAAGCAATTAGCCCAGGAATCAGGCGAGACCCTTGAAGGTTCTTTGGACGTGGAATTCACTTATGGACGCCCTGACATTGTACCTTCATCACTGTTAAGAAACGTATTGTCACGGAACAACCATTCAATCACCGTCACATCGTCAACCATAGTTTCCTTCTTGTCCCATGGAACACGCAACATGAACCGATACCAACCGTTGTCGAACGCATCATTGGAACCAATCCAGGCAGACTGGTCCAAATCTCGCTCTTCGTGCAAAAATGCTGAGAATCCTGAAAACTCAAACGCCATGGCCCCCAGAGTGTGGGTACCCATAAGAGCTACAATCTCTTTGCGGGTAAACCCCATCGTGTCCCTCATCGTCTGGTCCAAAACCTCAAAATTGTATAGGGAACCATCACTGGTCAAAGCGGGAGGCAAAACGTCCTCTTCGCAGTCGCAG